AGGGGGATATCTTAACTATACATCATTTGCAGTTCCCAGTCACTCTAATGCACAGATGTCTGAAGAAATGACATAAAACACTAGCAAGTTATAAAATATCTAGAGTGGTGCTCATTGCGTCTGTGGAAAATGATCACATCTATTTTCCGTACCTCTGCTATGCAGTCTCCCTGCTCAAATTATTTCCTGCTAACCAAGAGATAATATTGAAAGCAATAGAAATAAAATACTTCACTATCTCATGTCATGCTCTGATATTGTTGACTCTTTCATTTTTATATCTCCTTGATCCTCCCATAAGTCTTCACATCAACATACTGTAGTTAATTTCTCCAAACCTTTAGCAGCTCTGGAAGCAAACTGATTCCTAAGCCTACTGCTTTCATAGCTGTGGCCAGGCTTTGGGCTGCCTTTAACTTTGCTGTGGGTTTGTTTATTTGCATTAAACGACCTAGAAAAATTGCCCTGGGAGCACGTGGCATTTCTATTCATGGTTAAGCTCCTCTTTCCCCCTTGGAGACTATCACATCCCACCAAGGCAGCATTGTTGGAAACATCAACTCACCATTCTGTATAGACATGTCTCTTCCTCACCATGTGGCTCTTTCCCCAGGGTACCACCCACTGTGGGATGTGGGATGCTTGTGGGAAGACAGGAGAGGACTTGCTGCAAAGTGGCTGTTGTCTGGGGAGGTGTGGATGTCACATCTGTCCCCTCACACTCAGCATCCCCACCCTGTATTGCCGCTCCTTCCCTGTAGCAGGAAACAATGTGTGTCCCCAAGTATGTACTTTCATGTCCCCAGGCTTGCATAGTCCAGAGAAAGAAAGATTCACAGGAATAATGCCCTGGGTCTAAGGACTTCCGTAAAATGAAAAGGTCAGAGTTTTGTTCAGTTAACACCATCGTTCTGCTGCCCCATAGAGAAGAATTAGAGGGAAAATCTTTGTTCCTTGGAATAGGAGAAGCAAAAGGGATGATGGGAAAGCTGGTGGCAGAAGCCCATGAGGACAGTAACAGCTGCATGCCCACACACATAAGCAAAGCTCAGCAGTGCAGAGATGATGGAGGGAGGGCTAGCAAGTATGGGCCATGGTCTACTTATGTGTTTCTGGCAAGGCACAGAGAGGGGCATCAGAGGCAGGCTGAAACCACATGGGAACTTTGGCAAGGCTGCTCTGACTTTGGAGGATGTTACTGTGAAACGGGTCTCCATAATGTAGTAAGATGTAGGTTGTATCATTGAGCAGACTGGGGAGATGGGCAGCAATACTGCTTCCAGGGAGGTGCTGAGCACTACAGGAGGGCACTGCTAGCTCCAAGGGAAGCGTAGGCAGAGCTGCATTTCTGTGCAGCCTGTGAACCAAGTACTATTTTTAGATCCACTTCTTTCTTTTAGCACCTGTGGATCAGCCTAATGGACAGAGAGATAGCATATAATAAATGTCATAACCTCTTTGGAAAATACCTCATGGCTTTTAAACTAATCCCTTGATACTCTGAGATGACTGCTGCGTGACATTGATTAAACCTCAGGGGTTGGTCATGCTGAGGTAACACTTTAGTGCTCGTTCGTGCTGTTCCCTTGCCAGGCTTGTCTTCAGCTCTGCTCCTTGATACAGTACAGGGTCCAGAGTCCCTCAAGACTATGACCCTGATGTTGATCATCTGAGTTTGCATCAGGGATGTCCCTCCTCGGGGCACTAACTCATCTTCGGTGGTAATAGATGTTACAGTAGCCCTGTCCTTATCCCACCGGTCTTACAACCCCACCAGCATCCCTCTTCCCCTACAGAGGTCCCCGGTCTCTGAGGGGTGACATCTCTCCTTAAGTTGTTCTCCATGTTAATTCGCCCTTTCACTTTGACTGAAGAGGAAGAAAGGATTACCCTTTGAGCATCTCATACTCACGCCATACTCACTGTTGGCCTTGGGGAGTTCCAAGCAGGACACTGATGGTGGAGGATACTGTAGCAGTTGGTCTTTTCATGCCCCATTCCCACCGAAGCCCTTGACAGACAGTAGTCCATGAAGTAAGCCATACAGTGCACCTGGAGAGGGTTGGTGTCCCTCTCATCTGTCAGCCCTGCACCTTGGGCTAAGAAAAGGACTTTGCATGACTGTGTTTGCATTGTAAAAGTGGGGTTGGGCTAGCCTGAGCTGTCAGCAGAGATATCCCCCTTGCAGACAGTTTCCTTTAGCTCTACATACCAAAGAAGTGCATACTCTGGAAACTTCTAGCTTTCCTATGCTTCTCTATTGATACTTCACAGCTATAATGCTATGTACCCCTACTTTCCTATACTGGGGAAAAGAAGTAGTGGGAATTGGAGTGCTTGTTCATCATCATCTCGTAAAAATGACTGAGAGCAGTCACATTAAAGTCCTGAGTATTAGGAATCACTTCAGTATGCATTTTTTACCTATCCAGGGTTTTGGAAATATTGCCTTTAGGATGAAGACCTAAACGAAATCACCTTTTATGACTTAAGAAACCCATTAGAATCAGTTATATTGAGTTATATCAAGCTGAAAGCTGACCCCTTCAGCAACTTTCTATGACCTACTTGTGAAAATGGAAAGGATAAAATTCTCAAGAGTTGCACAGACCTCTAGTACCCAGAGGTCTGCTTGTTCTGCTCACTTATTTATATATGTATATCTTCCTGCTGCAGATCCTTGTCAACCTCCTTCATCTTGTACGTGAATCAAAGGTATCTTTCTCATTTCCCCTGCTGATGCTGAAAAGGCCTTCATGCAGGTGAACTGCAAACGTCTGTCTTACACTCAAAAAGCTCTCACCTTTCACTCACAAAGCTCTAATCTCCTGGAAATGTCTGTAAAACCAGTTAATGCATCTTATTGGGGCAACTGATTCCTGTTCCCAGCACCTGTCACTTGCCCAGAGCTCAGTCCCTTCCAGACTCCTCCAAGGACTATTCTGCACAATGTCTATAAAGACTCCTACACCATTCATCCATAGTAGCCATCTTGGGCTATTTTCATCCCGGAAAATCCTGGACCAGGATTTTCATTCCTTCACCCTTCCTTTAAAGTGCACTTCAGAGAGCAACAATGCAGCTGATAATGCTTGTTTTGACCCAGAGTCTTCTCAGATAATTGCAGGTGCGGGACAGGGGCTCCTGAGTGAGAAAACTGGTTACCAGGGTCCTCTCCAGCAACACAGGAGAGGAGAAAGGAGAGCATCTCTAGCAGTAGGGAAACCTAGATGTCTTCTCTGCATCAGGGGAGGTAGCCAGATCATGTTCCAGCAGAAGCTCTTCATCTGGTTCTCTTAAACTGCATGTAATGAGGTCTTAGATCAGTGTAACATTGGCAAAGTTCATCTGACTGTTAAACGGTGATAAAACAAATCATCAGCATCTCCCTAACTCCACATCTAATGATTGTGTTGGAAGGATTAATAAGTTGGAGAGCTGGATGAGCTCTGCCAAAACGTTCCCAGACACAGTCACTCACAGATTTTAATGAATTTGGCCAGCAACCTCTCTTGGTACTTGCTGTCTTGCATATTCATATGACAGGCTTTTATCAGCACTCAGCCTTGTAAAGGCAGTGTTTCAAGGCTGCACACATGAGCATTCCCAGGAAGCAGAGTTTGAAACTGGGCTGTGCAGGTGTTAGAGTTCAAAGTCCATATGTAGTCATGTCACCATTCATATGGTAAGCACCCACGGTCTGGTCCCCCCAGCTGGGCAGTGATGCTGGAGTGAGAAGCAGCAAGTCCTCCTCCAAAGACCTTTGAGAGAAAAACACTAGCTTGGAAAAAAAACAGAACAGACCTGGAAATGGGCATGCTGAACCATTCCAGGTAGCTGGGATGTTGGAGGAAATAAAGACGATTGGGAGAGATACGAAGCTTGGAGAAGAATTTATAGTCCCTGAAAGGACTTTAATACACCGGATTTGACCTATAATACTGATTATGACACTTTCTGGACATGACCGTTGTACCCCAGTTATCCCCAGTTTATGGTTGTAATGTTATGCTGTTTTATGTACCCCTGTTGTTGTTGTTAAAATTTTGTCCACCATATTGTCCCCTTCTTCTTCCCTCAGTTTTCCCGCCTTTTCCCTGTTTTCCCGCTCCTCTGCCTGCCATTGGTCAGAGTTTGGTGCAGTGCAGAGGTAGCTCTCATTGGTCCTTTCCCCCGGTAATACCTAAACTCCTCCCCTCTCTATCCAGCTGCCCAATCACCATGTTCCCCAAGTTGTCAGTCCCATGCTCCTCCCTAGCCCAGACTCCACCCTGAAACCTACCCTATATAAGTTGTTGTCCCCCTAATAAACTTCGGCATTGCTTCACCAACCTCTACCGTGTGAAAGACCCTTCTTTGCAGTGCCCGACCCCATTCCCTTTGTCCCAGCGGGTCGTGGCACTGGGAGCTGGTCCTGACATCACTGGCTTAGGATGAAGAACTCTTATATCACTTACCCTGTCTTAGTGTGTGAAGACAGAGTGTATCAGGGTCATCTCTGGCACATAACCTCACGATGGTGAGCACAAGGCTGTAAAAGTTTCAGTTATTTGATCCTTTAGGAATCTGTAAAGAAAGAGTTGAAGGCCAGGTGGTGTTACATCACACTGAGCAAAGAGAGAGAGATTTTGGTTGTCTAACGAAGGCTCCCTGATTGACTTTCACTGGATCTTGTGTTTGTTCATTAATGCCACTTTACTCCCCATTAACTGGTACAAATACTAACCTGACAAAGCAAATTACCTCAACCCTGATACTTGTCTGATAATGCATAACTGTACTGATTAGATCTTCACTTAATTTAAATCCTTAACTAAATTCTTAATTTGAGGTGAGCCTTTAAAGTCTGCTGAACAAATAAAAGTACCTTCTTCTACTGAAAAAGAGTCAGGCTTCCCATGTTCAATCAACTGACCTTAGAAGCTCATAATTTCAAAGGCCATGAGTGAGCTTCAGGGCTCCTGCAAGTTTTATGAAGCACCGAACACTCTTCTGTGAAGCAAGGTGCTGGCTGGGTCCAACTGCTGCAACCTCCAGGCCCAGGTAGGGCACACAGAAGAGAGTGTGCTAGAGAAGAAGGACCAGCCAGCCTTGCATGGGAGAAAAGGTAAGATTATTGGATCTATTAATTTTCTCGGTACTGACTGAGAAGTCAGATGTTGTTAAAATGTGTGTTTCGTTTAAAAACCCAGCAAGGCCAGATGTTTGCTAAGTGGATACACTTTGACAAGTGCCTGCATATTGAAATACAAACTATAAGTGAAAAAGTGAGTGCAACTGAAGCATTAAACAAACATTGACAGGACACACGTGAGCACACACAAATTGCCGCGTTTGCAGTGCAGGACGCACAGAGCTCCCATCTGCATGCAGAGACATCTAATTGTTCATATGCTGCAAACACATGCTCTCTTTTGCCTATAGAGCCACAGTCTGTGGCAAATGGCTACATAAATAGGAGTATATAGCTACACAAATGGCCAGTTCACCTGGCAGCACATGCCTACATCTGGGAGTGCAGCAGCTCCCAGTCTGCCACAGCCGCCAGACATCACCTCCTGGCAGCATCCAGCTGGTTTTTTGAGCCGTCTGTCCATGCCACATCCAGTTAGATGTCCCTAAGAGCTGCAACCTCCCCTGACCACCGTCTGTGAAATGCCAGCACGGCTTTGATGCCTGTGGATGTATTTCTCTGACTGAAATCTCCTGTCCTCCTGAAAACAGGGAGGACAAACCACAAGCAGTTCTTTTAAATCAAATAATTCAGCATTTACACTGCAGCTGTCAGATCACAAAACTGCAGCAGATGATACAGCAGGGCTCCAACTCCACTGTTCCAACAAATAGTGCAGTATTTGGTCAACTCTCACTGTGACCAGGCGCAAAAGCAGGCACTAACATCTACATCTCCTGCGAGCTTGTGAGGCAGAAACTCCATTGTGATTCTGAGCAAGTCAGCAAGATGGTCTGTGAGGTCCCATAATGCTTAATGCTTCCTTACCAGGGACATTTTTTCAATAGACTCAGTCTGTACAATGTGTCATTACCCCCTCAGCTTTGATCATCAATCCGAGGAGCATATCTCCTTAGAGATTAACAAACAAATTCTGGATGTGAAGTTGCTGAAAAGGCCACTTTGGTTGATTTTTTTCATATTGCTTTGTGTTCCTGCTTCACAGAACAGAAGGGCAATAAAAATTAATTTCATGATGTAATAAAATATTTGCCTTGAGGTTTCTGGAAGCTGAAGCACTGGTATTTTATTAGCATGCAAAAATTCATTATGAATATAAAATCGTGACAACACAGTGTGGTTGTTAAACCTTAGGATATCACAGGCTTAGGACAACGTAATCAACCAAATGAAATAACTTTTTAAACCAAACAAGTTTATAAACATTATCATTAAAAATAACAGTAAACAAATCAACTATTTCCAATAGTTTTAATCTTCATGGAACATGAGTAAAAAAACACCATCAGCTGGCCCCAAATGCCTCAGGATTTGGTTCCCACTTTGGAAGGTCTGCCTTTCCTGAGGCTGCCAGATGTTTGGAAAGTTTCATGTCATTATAGACTGTCTTCGTTTTCCAAGGTCCCGTTTATTTTTCTCCCAAATTACTTAAGCTCAGTCAAAGCCCACATCTTGTTCCATCTCTTGCTGCCTGGCTTTGTAACAAGATGGAACAGAAGCTCCAGAACTAAGAAAAGGAGCAAAGGCAGATGACCTTCCTCTTAGGTTCAGAGCACTTAGCTGGGTGAGGTAAAGGTAAGACAGAGAGACTGATTACTCAGTGTTTTCTTTTTTTTTCTTCATTTGCCCAGACACTATGTTCCTGTGTTTAGGTCAGGTTTGAGGTGTGCAGGACAAGGTCATGACTCAAGTCACTTTGTCTTCTCAGTAAGTTAGAAAGACATTAACAAAGGGATTTTTTCTGAAAAGTGCTTTTTATTGGCAATGAGCATGTTAGCGTACAAAGCATTAAATTGCTGGTTGACACTATGGAGTGTTTATTAAAGAAACTGCAGAAGCTAAACGACCCACTGCAATCACTCTGAAGTGTGGGGAGCCATCACTTTGTGGTCTGCCTTGAAGTTTCCCCAAATACACACAACTAAGTTTTACCTTTGTCCTGGTTTTGACTGGGATAGAGTTAGTTTTCTTGCTAGTAGCTGGTTCAGTGCTGTGGTTTCGATTTAGTAGGAGAATCATGTTGATAATACACTGATATTTTGGTTGTGGCTAAGTGGTGTTTACCCAAAGTCAAGGACTTTTTAGTGTCTCATGGACAAGAAACCAGGACAGAGCGAGGCCAAGACAACTGACTCAAAATGGCCAAAGGGATATTTCATACAATAGAACATCATGCCCAGTATATAAACTGGGAGAAGTTGATTGGGAGGAGACAATCACTGCTGCGGGATGGGCTGGGGTTCAGTCAGCGGGTGATGAGCAATTGTACATCCCTTGGTTTTCTTGGGGTTTATTGCTCTCTCTCGTTATTACTACTACTACTGCTGCTACTACTACTACTACTACTACTGTTGTTGTTGTTGTTGTCGTTGTTATTATTATTATATTTTACTTTATTTCCATTAGCAAACTGTTCTTAACTCACAAGTTTTACCTTTTTCCAATTCTCCACTCCACCCTACTGAGGGGTGGGGAGTAATACTTAGCTGCTGGCTGGAGTTAAACCACAACAACTTTTCTTATCAGGAGGGCAGTAAAAATGAACCACAAAGAAAAGCTATTGTTTTACCAGCAACTGGGTAAACTGGTGGATGCAAGAGTCACACTTTGTTTGGGTGTTTTGCAGAGGCTGAAATGTTCCTGCCTGAGCTGAAATAGCTTTAACTGTGGGAGTCACTTGAAACACCTAGCAAGGCAATACCAGGACCTGGTGGTGTGAGCAGAAGGGTCTCCATATGGCCAAATGCAAACACCCAGCCAGGGTCTTTGTCAGAGCCAAACGGGAAGGTTCAAGAACCCATTCCCGCATGAAGGCAGGGGAAGTGGATAAAGGGAGCAGGAGAAAGCTGAGCAGATGCATAGTGTGGTTTTCAGCCTGGTCCATGAGCATCCTATGCAGGCAGAGGCAATGCTGTCCATCACCTCCAAGCAAACCTCATCCCACCAGTCCAGAAGAGGACAGAGATATACGAGAAGGGTAGGAAATGTCACTGAAGCAGTCAGAGAAAGCAAGGACCCGCTAGAGAAAGGTTTACAGAGTCACCATGACCAAGAAGTTTTTGGGATGAGGAAGGAATAAAGACCTTTCAGCATAGAAATCCTCTTCTCACCTTCACCATACCAGCAGCATTAAGAGTGACAGGGCTTTGTGCATGTTTTGGAAATAACCAGCCCAGGTCCAAAGCAGTGACAACATTTTGTGTTTGACCTTCTCACTAGCCAAGCTAAAAACTTTGGGGAGCCCTCAGACCAAAGCTGAAGTCTAACTTCACCTGTATTAAACTTGTTCCTGCACCCCAGACTCTTCTACACAGGGAAGGCTCATTAAGTCTGAAACACATCCATGTTTTGCAATAGACTTGCTTTTTATATCGCAGATAGTTAAGAGCATTTTTTAAGCATGACTGTAACCAGTGATTTCATAGCAATACCACTTATTTTCCCATTGCTAGATCTCCTTATTTGCTGAAGACAGCAGCAAGGCCACAGCATGAGCACCAGAAAAGCCATTTGCAAGCAGCAGTGAGGTTGTTGATACCACAGGATGCTGTGTCCCAGAGGACCTCTGGAACCATTGGCATCCTTGGGTGTTTTGGGAAGGATTAATCAAGTTACACTTCTTTCTTCCCTTTTTTAATGCCTCCCCAACCCCACAGTCATGTTGGATGGACAGGTTGGAATGACCGTCAACTACTGAAAACTGTGGTCCCTCCTGTTTCACCGTGAGCACTCTGTGCTGCTCTTTGTTTGGAGCATTCAGTCCATGAACACCCAGGAACTTTTAGACTCTGCTTTGGAGGGCAGAGTAGTTGTCCAGCACTGCTTTTACCATAGTGTCCAGTTTTGCCTTTTTTATAGCTTGGCCTCAGTCACACAACAGTCATTGGTCTTTGGGGTTTAAAATTCCCTTGCTAGGTAGCTGGAGGCTGTTTGGAAGGCATATACAGAAAGGCACAAGTTCTGGAACCATTCAGCACTCTACATTTATGTCTATAGCACAGTTGCCTGAAACTGCTAAGGATTGCACTTAGTGACCCACACGGTCCTTTCCAATCCTTGTTCTTCACTAATCAAGAGGAACAGTCAGAGGCAGGATGCAATTACATAGTGAGGTTCAGTTATGCATAATAAAAACATCCCACCAGAAGAAGCAGTCTGTGAAGTGGCAGCAATACCAAGAGACCAAGCAGTGACAATGTTCAGGGCATATTAACCTACAATGAATTTTAGAGACAAATACAGATTCATATCATTTTGGCCTTCTTCAGTAGGGACATTATGTTGTAAGTCAGTATATTTTCTCTCTTTCACAGTAACAGACCCGCTTTCTCTCATGTGCCCTCTCCACACAGAAAATTACCACGCGTAATTGCTCGCGCAGAGTGATGCTCTTAATGCAACTGATCTTTAGTTTAGATCACTTATTCTCTGAAAAAAATAGCTTTTGATAAGTAGTTGGAGGAGTTCAAAGAAGAGCTATGAAACCAGTGAGAAGTCCAGTAAAACCAGGCCAATTTTGTTACTTCCCAATCCTACATATAGTGATGATAGCCTATTCTTAGCACATACTGACGCCTGTGGGAAGGTTAGTGAGGTTAAATAGGTAGTTTTTAAATGACAAAAACTAAAGCGGAATAAAGTATGCAATGGACATTACCTAGGAAGGAAACATAATAATTGTCAACTGCTCTGTGCAGGGAAAGAGGAGCCCACCACAGCCTATGGACTAATTTTCACCCAAGAGGAATATGTTAGAAAGATCACTATGAATAATTATAGAATTGACCCTGGAGATAATACTAATAAACAGATAGTCCTATAGCAGCAGAAAGATGGACACAATTATGTAAAAAGTTCTTTCTGTTTTTATAAACCTCAGAAGCAGGAGTGATGCTATGTGTTTTTGCTTTCATTTGAAAGGCTTACCTAAGATTTTTCAAAGTAATTTCTCCTGACAGCATGCTGAAAATGAAGACTTTTCTTTGATAACAACAAAGTCCATAAATCTTTCACTGGAGAGAGAAAAAAAACAGTTGGGGTGACAAAAACACTAAGCAAATGTCAATGTGAAGAGGTATTTCAGAGAGCTAGTAAACAGGCTTCCATCCTTGGTACATGCCAGTTTGTAGAATAGGACCTCAGAACCTGACTTTCAAGTGAGGATTGATCAAGTCTCCATTTCTGCAAGTGCTGATGAGAAACTATGCCTGCATTATTGCACCACAAATAAGTTTTGAGTGGAAATGTCAGCAGCAAGATACCTGAAATTCCAGTCCATGGAGAGAATTGGAAAGATGATTAAGTAAAGGTACAAAATATCATTGAGTAGCTAGAGACTTTCCCTTATAATTAAACTGGTTCTGGATTCTGGAACAGATGGCAAAGAAATGTGTCTGATTTCAGAGTGGAGTCGGACATCACTTAAGGGATATATTTGCTTATGATTGCAAATGATTGGATTGTATAGTCTATGAACTCGCTTTCTTTCTTGTGATTTCATGTCCCTAATTCTACTCCCTCTGGAGACAGTTATAAATGGAGACAGTATATATTGTTCACTTCTGCAGGGGCATGATAGCGTTAACAACGCAAAGTCTCCAGCAAAGATACAACACCTGCCTCCGTGTTCTGTACGTCTGAGGCCACAATGGTAGCACTTGGGAAGCACTAGTATTGACAAAATGGGTAAAATTGAGTGTGCCCACCAATAAGCAGCAGTGAAAGCCGGGTGTGTGATGGTCGCTCAAGCTCAGTGCAGCTATGCCAGCACCGCTCGCTGAAGCGGATACTCCTTCTGCCTTTCCCTGGAGGGACTGCAGCGAGAGGCTTCCCACTGCACTGCTGGGAGACACACGAAGTATCAAGTCCCTCAGCAAGAATCCTATTTCCTGGGTTCAGCAAGGTACTCCAGCAAAGTTTTGTCTGGGCTCTTTTCAAGATGTGCAGATGTTTCAGGGGTGGAGCTGAAGAAAGATCTCAAAGGCATGCAAAAGATAAATGACCAGCCTAAACCCCACAGATAGGAGATACCAGTCATGTCTACACTTGGGCTTGAAAACACTTCGATGTTTCATTATTATATTCAAGCTTGTGCCCATTGCTGTCTGGTCCCACTCATGTTCTGGCCATGACCTAATTCTAACTTGGTTGCCATCCCTGAACTGAGCAAACCCTAACTGTGCACTATAGTTGGAAGTGAAGGCCTGGCCCCCATCATTTTACACTCGCCGTAGCACCCTGCTGCTGTGTAAAATGACTTGAAGATGCTGACAGTTATGGGGATGGCAGGATGTCAGCTATAAATGGTTCTGTACAACCAGGGAATAAAGGAATTATGCCTTTCAGGCATGGCTGCAAACAACCTCTAAGCATTTCAAGTTCAACCCAACCACTCCACCCCAGCTCTGGTGCACTCCCACATTTCTTCTGGAGTGGTTATTTGCAAGCCTACATAGAAGGAGAATAGTCCTCTGCTCTTTTCATTTGACTTTTTTTAGCCTGATCCATCTTTGTGCCTGTTCTACACACGGTCCCACAGGAAGACGAATCAGCAGACCTCAGGAAGCCATGAGCTCTCATGAACCCCTGGATAGGAGTAAAGTAGGTAGTTGCTGCTAACACCAGTCCAGCCATTGGAGAACATATATCAGTTTGTGGCTGACCCATTTCCCATCACATTCATGCCAAAAGGCATTTTCTTTATCTTTTGAACTTTCAGAGAGGGGAAGAGGAGCTAAACTCACAGCAATTTCATGGACTGGTTTTGGAGGCAGTGAATGAATATGATTAATTATCACCCACTTTTTTACTCCATCGGATTAATAAGGGACATGCCTGGCATGCTGCAGTCTCCCTGCTCAGCCCTCTGTACACACAGCATGAGTGGTGTGATTCAGTCTCACACGCCACCTTCTGAAGGGAAGAAACAGAGCCATGAGTCAGTGGGACATGGCTCCAAGTGCCCTTCATGCAGTAGTGTCAGCCTTATCCAGCAGCACTGAAAGTTGTGTTTTATTAAACACAAACACAGAAGTGATTGTGCCTTCCTAATTTGGCAATGCTATCTGGAGTCAGAAGGCACAGCACAGATCAGCTGAATAAAAATGTTTCATTTCAGAAGCTAATGATCCTCACCTGGCTACCAGGAACTTGATGAAGGAAACAGAAAAAAATTAACTAGGGCATTACAATGAACTCTGGGACATAATAATAAATGTGAATTTCCTTTTGTGATGCCCATTTCCCCTTTGTGTAGGTACCTGTCAGGAACCACATATCAGATAAAACAGATGATAACTATGCCAAGGAAACCTGGGACCCTTAGCTGGGCTAATGGCCCAGCTAGCGTTAAAGCCCCCTTAGTAATGACAATGGAAATGAATGACTGTAATAAATAATGAACATTGGCCTTTAGATAAGATGTATTTTATTTCCCAGTAGTTAAGAGTATTTATAAGCTACAGTCACAAATGACTGGCTTGTGCTAAATGTAGCTTGGAGTAGGCAGACAAAATTTTCTTGGAAGTCTCTGGGCAAATTCGGTAGTGACGACAGCAATACTTTCAGCAGTACCACTTGTCCCCCATCTGCAGGAGCAATATGCAATTTAGTGCTTAGAGTATTTTGAAAGAAATGGCTACAAGGGTAGTCAATAAAGTTTGGATTAGTGTCCCTGCTCTTTGAGCACCAGGGTACAGTGTAGGAAACCAGGAGGGGAACCACAAAAGGGCCTGGGGAGGAAGCCTTTCCCAAAATCAAAGGGCCACAGATTCCTTGCATGGGGATGGGTCAGACACCTGGGTAATCAGAAGGCTGATGCTCTTTTCCCTTGGACAGTCTAAATGAAAAAGTGACTTCCATCTGCATGCAGTGGTTCCCCTGCCTGCCCTTCTCAGGGAATGTGCTACCTCCACAGGCATGTGAGAGAAGCTACCTTACTGAGGACTGCTGTGGGCAGTGCTGGGCAGGAGTGACTGGTGTTTACTCCTTCAGGTGCTCAAGGGTTTTAACAGACCAGTTCTGGAGACACACTGAAATTGCTGGTCACTCAGTGGCATTTAAGAACTTGTAAATTCAAAATAAAACTGAGCAAGTAGTTCCTTAAACCTTCCAGTCAGTGACATCCCATCCTGGCAAAGGGGGCAGCTGGGCAGCACTGCCAGCCCTTGGAAAGTACCTAGCTTGTTTCTTTCCACTTGACAGAGTCCAAAATGACTTAGTGGATTTCATTTTCCCTGCTCCCAGGATTTACTTTTCACCCATGCACAAAGGAGGAAATATGTTACTAATACACCAGAATTCTGGAAACATTAAAAAAAAAAAAGGGGGGGAGGGCGGAGGAAGGGAGGGCAGTGGTGGGAAGGGGAAGATGGGGACCTCTGCCAACTAGTTGTTCCAGTGATTTTCAGTCTGTGAATTTTATTTACCACAGATCCCTCCAAGATTTCCAGGAAGGTGCAGAAGCCCAGAAGATAGGTGTAAGTCAACTGCAAATGACAGTTCTCTTGTTTGGCTTTAACATACTCCTTGAAGTACACCACAACCCCCATAAGGGTCTCTGACCATGGGCTAAAAATTACTGTTCTTTCACCATAGCTATAAGAAGGGAGACAGTGTCAACTTGAGAGGCCACTTTCACAGCTGCTGAAGCCATGGAGAGCTGTTTCAGGGGCTCAGGGCAGTGCAGCGGTGATCTGTTTTCCATTGCTTAGAGTAGTGAGGCTGTCTGGTATTGTTGTGGTATGCTGCTGGAGAGAGAGATGCTCGGCTAGTACAAATCAGTGCATATTGTCAAAACAGTTTGGACTTTACAGTCCATTTACTTAGCTGTTAAAGGCACTACAGATGCTTTTAGTAAGCAGAAAGTTTTCACACAAAAATTGGAGACTTTCAGCAGACAGCACTGCAGTTCCTGTGAGGACAATGCCTATGAAAAAACCATCTTTGGTAAACAGGAAAAAGGAGATGATCCGTTTTGATCAGTGACTGCAACAATATAATTTCTAGAAAAGATTAGAAGAGAGGCTACTCAGATAACATCTGTTCTATTGGCACAACCTGTTGTAAACCTGGAACACTGAAAAAAATGAGAAGAGAGACCTATTAAAATATCAAGCTGCAAAACCCACAAGCAATGGTGTGATTACCTGGAGAAGAAGTGCAAAGCTTTCTTGAAAGTCAATTTCCTTTCTTTGAACCCCTGTTCTCCTTACAGTTTTGTGTTCTCTCTATCAAAAAATACATGGCCATTACACTTAGCAGGGAAGACGGAGAATTGGATGAGTTATTAGCAAAGCTGACCAAAACATGGAGATATTTAAAACCTGCCTGGATGCAATCCTGTACAACCTCCTTTAGGTGAACCTGCTTTAGCAGAGTGATTGGACTACATTATCCACAGAGGTGCCTTCCAAGCCCAACCATTCTGTAATTCAGTGATAAACAGAAGCAAGAACTTCTTAAAGCTCAATATATATTTTTTAAATGCCAACAAAGAATGTGAAGGAAAGCAAGCATATTTCTTATAGGCTACTGTTACAGGGAGATGAAGTAGCTGAGATGGGATATGAAAGAGTCTGAAGATGACAGCACCTAAAGGAAATAGCGCCATGATATTTCTTCAGGTTCCCAAAGTCATTCAAAATGTTAGATTGAATTTCTTTCATCAGACATTATACTAAGTGGAATCTCTACCAGTAAAATCACATTGCTGTATGAATGACCTTTCTTCTGATAAGGATTTAAAATATGTATTTTTAATCAGTCAGAAAAATCAGCTTTTGAGACAAATTATTTACATGAGCAATATGGTTTATGGCAGTCCAGAGTCACCAGAAACTGTGCTTTTCATGACTTGAATGTGGCAAAATACCCAAAACCAGCTTTTCTTTTCCAGAAAAATTCTGTTTTCTAAAGCAAAATAAAGGTAATTAAAATATAATTAAAATATAATCCAATTATTATTGTTTTATCATTAACATCTTTGGTTCTTTCCCTAATAAAAGAAGATATACATCGATGATCTAATTCTTCAAAAGAACTAATTTTTCAAGATAGAAGAGTTGTGAGTATATAAAAGCATCCCCCAAGAAATGCAAACCTGTCAAACCCTGGTTTATGTTGTATTTCTCTAAGTCAAAAATGTCTGCAGTGAATATTATCGAATTCAGTCTCTGTGAGAGATCCTCTGAGACAGGTTTCAGCTCAGAAGAAATTGTTTTTCCTGTGAGGAGGGTGAGGAAATCAGTGAAACCAGAGCATGATAATGACCCGGTCTCCTAAAGTTTAGGTATAATATTTCCAGTAGCCACCACCATAATGTACTTTATTGAAGGATTCAGTGGACACCTTGGTAACCATGAGAAAAAAGCTCAGGGGTTTTGTGCGGATACTTGAGGTGTAGCAACCCTAACATGAAATATACATTAGCCACGAAATCAGGTCAGCATACAGCATATCTCTGAAGGCTTTTTGTGAAAATTCACAGCTCTTTTGGAGCAAGTCTGGATTTCAGGAGGGCAGAGCTGCCCTGCATGGGCAATCTTAGCTGAAAATTCAGTGCCAGAGGGCAGAGCACTGGGAGCCACATTTCCTCTCAGACTGGCCTGGCCTCAGGGAGGTTGGGGGTGGACAGTGGTCCTTCCCACTGGGACTGTGAGTGTAGGGGAGAAGTCCTGGGCAGGTGGGAATTGCTTCTCCGTCCTCCAGCCACTGCTCGCCTGCCCCCGTCCTGTTGGGTCATGGGATGGGCGTTGGATGGGAGATGGCAGCAGAGAAATGTTGCTGCAATGAACCTGATCACAAGGGGCAGCCTTGGGGCTGACTGGATCCTCTGGAATGCCAAAAACTATTTTATAACTGTATGAGATGAACCTTTGAAAATTAAACTGCAATAGAGGCCACATACCCTTTTGTTCTCCATTACTTGACTGCAGGATTTCTCCTGCATACTAATTTTGCTCAAAGTAAAGTAAAGCATCGGTGAGATGCAGTTTCAAAGTGAGCAGGTGTTTTTTTCTGTGAGTGCTCTGTACAAATTACTCTGTCAAGAAAACGTTCCAATTCGAGATTGAAATTCTTCATATCTGGTAATGCCAAAATTGTGGTTAATGCATTAACCCATTGAAGATGATGCAACTTTTAAGGGGGTGAGGAAAGCTAAGTTATTTCTGATGACAGTGTGTTTGCATTTCTCAGATCCCTTCCATCTGTCTACTAAAATGCACCCTTTTCCAGGGTAATACAGTCAGCCTTGAATTCTAAGAAGTGAACAAGGGGCCACTGTGAGAATAAAGCACAGGCTCAAAATTCAGACCAGTTTCAGTATGATTTATCTCATTTGACATCATCCATCTATATGTCAGTCTCTCCCTACTGGCAATGAAGAGAGGCACTTCCAACTAACCCCTCCTAAAGAGATGAGTGAGCCAGATCTCTGAGAGGTGCCCCTCTCTGTTTGGCTGGAGAGGAGGTTTAGTCATTTACCTTGGATGAAGTGCCCTGTGCTTCAGTAGCTACACTTACATGAGAGGAAACCAGGAGACAGTGGCCTTGGAAAGTTGTCAACACTGTGATTTTTACATGTCTCCTCCAAAACACTCCAGTGAAGACTATGGGGCATAGACATCTTGGAGAAAATAAGCAGTTTCAGCTGGCCTCAGCCCTGTGTCACAAAGTAGCCAGAGTGGCCAAAAGCTGGAAAGATGTTGTGCAAGAAGCCTCCTCCCTCCAAAAACACAATGCTAAATGAGGGACCAGAGAGATGCATGCAGCCAGCAAGTATTCTCTCTGCCTCATTTAATCAAGACAGTAAGATTAGCTCTGGGATGAAATGAAATCAATTTTCTGATGAAAAACTGCTGGAATTAAATTTCTATTAAATATTTTACCACTGTCTAATTTCCACAGAGATTTTAATTTAGTGTTGCAAAAACTTATGAGCAAGTACACTATTCTTTTAGATGACAATTAAGGTATTTTGATTCAGAAATGATGTTAAAGTGTTGTACACAGACCACTTCTCTCATGTTCCTGTGCTTTGTGTAAACAAAGCCACCAGCCAGAAAACCTCTTCTGATAGGTGCCACGTGACACCCCCACGGAGACATGATCACCCCACAGAGCCAAAGTGGGAGTGCAACACATCAAAACTACTTTGTTCACTAACCATTACCTCAGATCAGAAGTATTTCAAATTTTTTTCTCAAAAACATAAGCATTTTCTACTGAACAGTTTTGCCCACCTCCCCTTCACTTTCTTTGAAAAATGTCGTAGCAAAACACCCTTTTGCTGTCAAGGTCTAGTTTGTACCCAGGGCAAGTCTCAGTTTCACGACAAATGTTCCAATGGGAACCTGGTCCAGACGTTTACTGGGCCCAATCTCCAGAGCACTGTGTGCCCCCAGTTTCAATTAACATCAGGAGGAACTGGAAATGTGTGGCACCAACAGGACTCAGGTCCCTCTAGGCAAACAAAGATCTAGTTGATTGCACTGTTAACTAAGGATGGAGTACCAGGGGAGATGAGGAGAGCTGCAAGCTCCATCACACTGCTGGCACTCTAGGAAAGCTACATTACAGGCAAATTCACCCACAGCCACCTCAAAGCAGAGCTCCATGCTGGACATTTGCAGGCCTGTCTGTTTCATCCTTGCTTTGCTATAGCTAAGATGCAGTTTCTATTATGCAGCTGCTAGAGGATTATGGGGACATCATAGGACTAGCAACCTCTCCATAGCAGTTTTAACACTGGGGCTTGCAAAAATCTGTAAATAAATTCCTGCGAGGAGCTACCATAGAAATTTTCCTTTTGACCACAGCTGGAAGAGCAAACTTCTCATTCATTTTATGTCCATTTTAATTTTCTTTCTTATGAGAATTTAAGGTTTTTTTCCTAGATAGTGAGAGCTGTTCAGCATCAAAACCAGAAATAATTTTTGAAGAAAAACAGTTTCTTTAAAAAAAACCCTGGACTAAAGGTACTGTTGAGGTTTAAAAACAATTTGAAGACAGAGGTAAAGACACCTCAAAAAAATCTTGTGTTCTCTAAAAAGCATCAGTTCCTGGTTCTGAAGTGTCATTATCACTTAAAAGTTGGACTCAATGACCCTTGTGGGTCCCTTCCAACCCAAAATATTCTGTAACTCCTGTCTGTGACTCCTGTAATTATAGAATCACAGAATATCAGGTTGGAAGGGATCTTAAGGATTGTCTCATCCAACCTTTCCTGGCAAAGGCATGATCTAGACAAGATGGTGTAGCATCCTGTCCTGCTGAATCTTGAAGTGTCCACTGTTGGGGAATCCACCACTTCCCTTGGGATATTATGCATTATTAACCTGTAAGCCAAATAAAAGCGGGCATGAAATTTTGAAAAGTGAAAGGAAGAAAAAAAACCCAAAGAGCACTTATATAGTATGAATATTACCTGCTATCTGAAGCTAAAGCTTTGAAAAATCCCCATGTCTCCTTTTTAAGATCTTTGACAAGAGCAGTCATTTTACAGCCTGCATGCACATGCATCATTTTTTTTGGCAGGATGACGAGCTCTGAGAACAATATGGGGTAGGTCAGGGTAGATGGGATGGACCTTTTCTGGTCGATGGGTGGCCTTGCAGGTCACACTGCTCTCCAGTACTGCAGGTTTTCTGTACCAGGGAATTTCATCAAGAACAATGAAAAAACAATCCAATTCATGAAGCCTTCCAACAGCTACAACTCACATAGTTTTTTGGATCCCAAACACTTCCTGAAGCCAAAACAGAGACTCTGATACTTTGGAACACATCAAGATACTTATCTCAAGGAGCCGATGATTTTCAAAGGCTCATGGTTGTTAACTGCTACTGACAATAAAATGGATTTAAGGTCATAGCTGCCATTTGCAAGGGGTTGCCCAACATATGAAAACTTCATCCCCAATCTTCCGAGCTGAACTTCCTCAACAGTGAACGTAGCTAACTGTACATCCATCCCATATTCAAAGAGCATACAAGGAGGCTGAAGAGCCATTACCTCCAGGGGAAGGCACAGATAAAATCTTCAATGACAGGGCAACCAAACCATGCCATGCTTGCCAGCTCTCAGGGCTGTCTCTGGACGATGTGGATCTCAGGGTTGCTCAGGGTTGTGTCTGGACACAGGAGAAGCTTGATCCAGACAGTAGCAGGAACTGAAACAGCATGAGGAGTGGTACAAGCCCTGAGATGTGCAGGGAGGCAAGTGAGGCATATCGTGCTGAGACCATGGCCAAGGAAGTAGGAACAGTGGGCTTGGAGGGAAGCCACAGAGATCCAGAGAGGTGGTGGATGGTATGTGGGCTCTTCTTTGGGAATTTATTGTATCTACATGGAGAACAGAGAGATTGGGGTGAAAAGATGAGCTTTGTCAGGACTTCTGTGGTGGAGGTAGAGTGGTGAACCCTGTCAGGGCTGTGAGGAGAGGCTGGTTAGGATCAAGATGCTTGATCATGCATAGCAGGATTGCAAACACCGGGATGAGTGCATGCATGAGTCTGCATGTATGTCCCACGTGCACAGACATAGTGCTGTTGTCACTCAACCCACGGCATGACTAGCAGAGCCTTTAAAAAGAAACCACACACGCACAAATATTTTATGTGCATGCCTTATGTATAAGGCATGGGCCAAACGACTTGCCCACACAGTTCTGAAATGTACCCTTTTACTCCTTTTGGTGCCAAGGAAATGTTTTTGACTACAAATGGTGACAGGGACGATTGCACAATCCAGTCCATACGTATGAAAACCAGCAGGCTGAGCATAAATGTCTATTTGAAGGAATACAGATGAATCAGTAATGATATTAGAGTGATTAGCCAACTGCTTTAATTGATATGTACAAAACCATATGTGCTTATAAGCTTACAAATGCTAACTCACACTTATCACCATCTGCACAGAAAAGTCACAGTAAATTTCCTTTTCCTAAATGCAAGTTTGTCATTTTAAAAGGGATAGGCTAGGGAGGGTACTGAAAGGCTGTGCCATGAAAGGCCCTTCAATACTGACAAGGGCGTCTCTCAGACCAGATTTTTTTAGTGACCATAATAGAGTTCAGTTGTTGGCCAGGTCAGTGCAAAGACATGAGAGAAATTTAATAACCAGTTTTTCAAGAGGAAAAATAAAAGCAAGTTCTTACAAGAAATTATGAGGAAGGCTAGTTGTACGTTGGTTCCCCTTCCTCTCCAGTTTTCTCCTGGCTCTGTCCCAGGGCTGTATATGAACCCACAGCAAAAGGCTAAAGAAGAGCAATCCAGAAGTAACTAAACAACATAAGAGCAGGTCACTGGTCACCGAAACTTCTGCTGGAAAAGCAATGATGGCAGGAAATAGTCAAGTGTGTTTTTTGCAAAGTTACTGTGAGAGTCTCTGGCTGTAGATACAAGTCCTTACCACCTCAGCCAGGTAGAATGTGGGGACCAGCTCCAGCTGTATTGCTGCAGAACAGTTCATGACCATGGTCTTTTATTCAACTCCAAGCAAAATCAGCTGATTCTGTTTAAAATCAGGTATGATGGTAGCTAAGTGAATTGCAAGAAATATCACAGAATGGCAATCCCATCACCAGAGCAATTATTTGGCTTGACAGGAGTGCTCTGCAGGCTGTAATGTGGGACCATCATGCCAGAAGAAGAGCAGCAAACAAGTTCATCAATCATCGGCAGGATTTACTACGTGAGTCCAGGGCTAAGGAGAAGCAAATGTGCACCTCCCCTAATTTCAATAACAGCAGTGTAGGTGTAACCATGTGAGTTTCATTCCTTCCTAGTTGCTGGAGAGCAAGGCTCTTCTGAACTCTAAATCCTGTGCTCTGTTTTAGTTTTTACTTTAGGCTGAGGTGAGTCACAGTGGAGGCTCCATCACTTACGTTAATCAGATCTCATCTAACTACAAAGGGACCCCAAAGGGACTGGCTTCAGTGCATTCATTGTGTCCCACATGTGATGTTTTCACTACTAGGAATTATTATGCTCTCTGAAGCACTTTAAGGAACACTATCAAAATAAAATCTTTTTACTGGCTAATCTTCACTGGCCATAGGAGAAACTTGCACATATGTTTGCAACTGTACAGAGTTTTATGCATTAGCAAAGTCTATGTCCTATTTAAAAAGAGGTGGGAGCTTAAAGTTAAGGTGCTATATTCATTCATTCTAAATGCATGTGTTTTCCCATCCCTTCAGAGTACAAATATTGTCCAGATCACCCACTATCAGTCATATTTCTGCTACTGTAGCCAGAGCACAAAACTGCAGTGTTGATGCCAGATCCATGACTGACTCTACGGAGAAAACTGGCATCCAAGCTGGCATGAAGCTCCCAACATAATTTGGTCCCTCTGATGCAGAAGAGTGAATTTTGCATTATATATTGGTTTTGTTAAATATCAGATGGCCTGTAAGCTTATGGAACAAATCTGTGGTGATACTTGGGAGTTTAAATTCTGCTTAAAATCAGGAGATAAAGGAAAAAAGTGTTTATACATCCCCATGGCCTGAAGGCTAAGTCGCTTGCTTAAGCAACACAGCCAAAAGTTTTATCCTGGCTGTCTCCACAGAAAGATCCATCAGAATTGCCTGTGCTACAGCCTGCCATTTTTGACTTGGGCTTCATGGCAGAAGACTATTAAGAGAGAAAAACTGATAAGGATTCTCTTGACACTTCTGAAACATGGAGGATACGCATGTGTGACAGGGACAGGTGAGTTACTCTCATTTGAAAAATCTTGACAGCACTGTGCACTAACAGTGTCATAAATATTCTATCTGTGCTGCAAAGGAAGCAAAGAAGTTGTTATAATTCAGTTGTTACCATTGTGTGAGCACTGTGTTCTGTCTGGGTGACCTACAGGCTCAGAATAATAATGATGGAGATTCATCAGACCTCACTAGCGACAAAGTGGAGAGGGAGTATGTGATGGGTAAAGGCTTTGATCACATTAGACAACAGCAGCTGAAGGAAGGGTTGGATGAGAAGGTGCATATGAAAAGTATGATTTTTAGACAGGTCCCAGTAGTTCTGGAGTGACAGGGAATCCCTGGGTGCCTGCAATAAGTGTCAGTCACTGCCAATTTAACAGATGCCTGAAACAACTCACTCCTGAGGAGCTGGCAAACACGCCAGGGAAGCAAATGAGTAAGAAAATGATACAGTGGCCCCCAAAATGCCCCCATCCCACCTGATGCTTCATGCTACTGCACTTCAGGAGCAACAATGACTGGTAAAGCATAGCTAGTATGGAGGCAAACTCTAGGCCATGGTCCAGCTTGGATGTGTGCAAATTATATTGTAGGAACAGAGATACCAGCTCATGTTTGGTGAGCATTGGCACCTTGTGCATGTGGCCAAAGCAATACAGGTTCAGTACTTCCCAAGACAGGCATTACAGATCAAATTAGTCCCTTGGGAAGCAGCTGCTCTAGAAAGCCCAAGAAACCACCTCAAGTGTGAGAGTCTCGGGGTGTTTTCTTCAGCTGGGATATCCCTCTTTCCCCATCTTCCTGTGCCAGCTGCCTCCAGTTATGGAAAACTCTACTCAGGATTTCAAAAGTCCCAGAATAATGTAGCAGGAGCAAGTCGTATGCAATTGCTACTTTGAGAAAGCACACTCAAAGGTGTAAAAGAGAAGTGAACTTGGCCTCTGTCCCATGAAATCCACATATCAGGTAGTTTGCCCTGAAAATACAGCAAATTAAGTCCATTAAAAAAAAAAAAAGGACCTAATACAAAGTAGTTCAGAAAGTACTGATTTTATTCAAGGTGTTTAGACGTACAGGCATATATTAGCATACGTTAACACCTTGCTCAGTAGAAGCTTAGGGTCAATGTTAGAGCATAAGAAAAATGTAGAGTATATCTCTAAAGTGCACTGGCAATCCCCCAAAACAGTGGTCTCAAACCAAAGGAACTTACTGTATTTTTATCCAGCCATGACATTCAGTGTAGAGTCAACACAAGAACAAGTCAGAGTAGCACACATTAGATGTACTGATGGATTTGAAAATCAGTAGTAAATAAAGAGCCACAATCCAATGACAATTTCTAAAGGCATTTGTGATTTCAAAACTCAGTTTTATAGCAAATATAGCAAAATAGATCAACAACAGAACTGTATGTTAATAGTTGTGCAGAAGAGGACAAGAAGGAACTTGAGAGGCTATCCAAATCACCCTCATCCCAAGGAAGAGCCAATGATACATTTACCAGCTCCACAAGGGGTTGATTAGCCTATATTTAAAAAAAACCCCAGTAGCTGCAATGTAAGCTGTGCACTTCTTATCCTGCAGACATGGCAAGGAAGTTGTTGTCTTTCTCTTTAGAGACACTTTTAACAAATCTGAAGGCTCAGTCCTTCATTCTGTACACTTTGCTGACCCAGTTAGTTTAGGCCTCCTGTGGAACCCATGTGTTTGAGATGTGTCAGCAGTGGTGTTCTCCTCGGGATTCCCTCCAGCCAATTCCATTTGCTTTGAAGTGCAGCATCTGAAATTGATCTTAAAGCTGCAGCAGAGGCCCTTTCAGTGCTGACCGGAGCAGGAGGAATATTTAATTTGTGTTGCAGGCTAAACAGCTGTCTATATTCCCCACTGTAACACTTTTTTCTTTTTTCACCATGTAGAGATAGTTAACTCCTGTTGAACCTGTAATTCATTGAAAACTACAGTCTTTTCTGCTGAAAACCAAGTATTTGCCATTAGATATTCCTGTATAGGGGTATTTCTACCCGAGTGTGCTACCTTGAATTTCTCCTTCTTGAAACTGATCCTCTTTATTTTCAGACTGTGCCTCCCATTGGGGAAGACTGTTATGAATTTCTATTCCTTTCCTTCAGCAAGTTAGCAGTCCCTCACAGGTTCACATACATCAACCAAACCATCGGTGGGAACACAGATCAGAGATATGGTATCGTCATACCATCTCTTTACAGAATAGTTGTTAGTATCCTTATCTATAAGAAAATCTAAAGCCATGACCAGTAACATTTACAGGTGGTACAAAGAGTGACATGCTGTCACAGTCCAAAAGGAGTGACAACCTACTCAGGTTCACGAAGGAAGTAGGCCTGTTTATTCAAAATGGCTCTCTCTATAGGGGGAGAGAGGAACTTTCTAGAAATGGGGGTGTGAACAGTACATGTAAGGAAGGGAAAGGAGGGAACTCGACTTAATAGGAAAAGCATAGGAGGGATTACATTTTTATAAGGGAAATGGGGAAGGATATAACCTTATTAGGGAGGTCTGCATTGCGGCAGAAATTAACCAGTAGGAAAAGGGGAATATAACATGAGGGAAAGACGGCTAGAAGATTTTATAAAAACGTAGAGGTACAGTACATTTAAGCATGCATTAACAATAAAACTGGAACTCTCTTAGAAAACTGTTTCAGTCCATTGAATCTGCCCAAAGTTTGGTCACAGAATGTTCTCCTCATCGAGGTTTTAGCCTAGAGCCTCCTGCAATCTCTTTTTCCATTGCTGAAACTTCTCTTCTTCGTCCAAGCCACCTCCAACAACATACTAAATAATGACACATCAATGACACAAAGAGATCTGGATAACTTTGTAAACCAAATTCATCTGAGAAGTATGTCAAAATGCAGATCACAAGCATATTTGGCAATGAAGAATGGCGGTCACACCTGTGGGATGAGGGAGTGTGTTTTTGAAACTGGGACTCTCCTCAAAATTAACCCCCTGAAAAGGCATCTTGAAAAAAAAATAGCAGCAGGGCATAACAACAACCCTCGCATAAGTAAGCAATGAATCGTGAAACAGAAAAAACATCCAAGGATGGGATCTTTTAAAAATGTCTCCTATATAAATATTTCCCAAGTTAAAATTAAATTGACAATTCATTTTTCTCAGAAGCCAGTAATGCACTTCTTTCAGATACTTTCTGACCAGCAAGGTGTCATATGACACCATATGCATAACAGTGCCTAAGATCTGCAGTGTCAGTGTGATTGCTTACTCAATGAAAGGAGTGGTGACATTCGTACTACTGTCAAATGTTCTACTTTCATGAGGGCAGAATTCAGGTTTGTGCATTCGGGGCACCAGATAAATATGTTGGACAAGGAACCAAATGCTGCTGTCCCCAGAGGAGTCTGCAATAATGCATTTCAAACTTTCAAAGTCTTAGCCTGTAGTACAGAAGCTGCACAAACCAGTGGTTTCTGGAAGTTCTAAGCAAGGAATTCTTCTTATGTAGTCCATCTTGCCAGCATGTCTGATTGCAAAAAATGCTTATGAATTAAGGACCAGTATGACTCTACAGTTGAAGAGCCGAGCTGAGAGCTCTGTTCTGAAATCATTTATGCTGCACAGTTGAGTAGAGACTACTGAGGTGGAGTCGCTTGCCCAGAGTCAGTTAAAAACTAGAGAATTGAATAAAGTTCTTCAGTGCCTGAACCACTAACAGAACATAACTTCTAAGTGTTCATCAAAGAGCAGAACTTTTTTTTAATTCCTTGCTAACAACTTTCCACAAACAGCAATAAGGTTTGCAAAGAAGTGCAATGTCAGACCCTCTATGTCAGCATTCTTGACCAAAAACTGGAAGTGCAGCAGGAGTCTGGTTTCTATCATAGCCTCACAGATAGTGGATCCTCAGATCTGGAAATTCAAAACAGTCCTCTCAAACTGGATATGAAGCGTCACACATCTCATCTAGTCTATTGGCTCCAAGGATGGAGCTCCTTCCTATGCCAATGGCCATAATTACGCAGGGATATGCAAAGCTGTACTTGAAGAAACTCTGCCTGTTTTGATGATGGCATCACAGAGAAGGTCATCTGTCTAAAGCCCACAAGCAGTTTCATCCAAGCAGACTTCAGAATCCAGTGCCCTAGAGCTCCTTGAAGAATTTCAGAAAGCTGGGAGAAGATTTCTTTTTGCTCCTCTATGATACTGAGAAAGAACTATTGAACCAGTTCTCCCTAGGTGAGCTGCAGCTCTGAAATCTCCTTTATTTTCCCTATTTTTAATGTCTAACTGCCTGAACTGGTCCTATACAGTATAGTACAGATCTAACTACTTTCTAATGTATTTAAATGTATGTAATAAAAGTATGGCTACAGTGCAATTAAAGTGCCATTTCTTTCATTTTAAATGTCAGTGTAATTAAAGTTCACAGATAATAATATTCACAAATCTGTAGATTTTTCCAGGCTCCTCGTTTAGTATTTCTGGAGATTTACATATGTGAAAACTTCATCTTCCATTATCACTAGTGCTTGGTTAGCTGTGGTGCTGCTCTATTCACTGTCTCTGACCTAAGGCTTGCCTATGCTGAATATCTGTTGCAGGCTGATATGTGATCTATCATGTTAGACTTGCACTTGTTTATCACTTTTATCAAAAATCACCTTCCATTTTACAGTTCTTTAATCTGCAAACAACTTAGATAGTGAGATAGTGCATCCTCACGCACAGTAGAAAAGGATGAATATCCTTTAGAAACAGCCTCTGCACCCCCCAGCAGCCTCTTGCTTTCACACAGGGCTATGCCAGTGGCTGCCATCATACAGCCTGATCATTAGTGTGCTGTGTTGTTCTGGTTTTTGTGCTTTTTAGTTGTCTTTTACACTCCCTGTGCAACAAGTAGAGCAGAGCCAGACCTTAGCCATGGCTCCTGTCTGAAAAGCCATGGGAATTCTTCTCTTGTTTCTTGCTTCCCTGATGAAAACCAAGAGACTCTTCCTTTCTGGAGACAACAAAATTTTTCACATGTAGAAATTTTAAGAATTCCCCTGAATCCTAGCCAGGGTACAAGTGAGCTTCTTGGAAAGGGAAAACCGAAGTTCACATTTTCAGAGCCAAGCCACTGAAGTAGTAAAATGTTCTGGTTGGGTTGTAAGAAGATTAGCACAGCTTTTTCATGACCAGCCTACAACCTACAAGTGAACCTCCCTGCCTCTGGTACTGATGTAGTTTTGGACATATTCTTCATAAAGAAAATATAAAGCAAATGTTCTTATAGACTGTGCATACTACTGCACAGTAATCCCTCCCTCCCTCCCTCTCCCTCAAAAAAAGAGGAAACCACATTAACTCAGCCACCAGCATACATTGGGCAAGTGTAGAGCCACTCCCTTCCCTAGCATTGAGAAAGTTTTGAAGATAATCACAGCAGGCTTTCTGTGCAACCACACACTTCCCTACACAACCTTAAATTACTTTTTGTAGCTTTGCCCAGCTCTGGGTTTGTCCAACATTTTTACATCTCATACGTTTAAACTTTACGTATTTAGTTCTACATATCAGGAGCTAACTGAAATTGTCCTCATAGTTCTGCTCATCCAACAATTAAGAATGATTAATTAAACCTACCACAATCTTCCACAAAGTATGAAGCAAGCTTCATGCTATTGCAGTTATACCCTAGTTTATGGGAAGTTACGATGACTTGTGTTTAACATAAAACCAGTTCAGCACCTAGCTGAAATGTGGCTTCTGACTAGGACCACTGTGCTTTCAAACCAGGAACTATATCCTAGATACATTTTTTTCTCCATATGCCTTCTCCGTCCTTTGGCAAAGGACCCTCACTCCTTGCTTTTAGATAGCAAAACGTGCAGGAAGCTGCTGTGTTAGGCTGACAACTCTCATCAGCCTCCATACACCTTTCTTTCTTCTGGTCATTCAGCTGCTCAGGGTATGGTGAAAGAAACCCATATTGCCTCTCAATTTAATTCTCTGGAAGAGTAAATGGGCTCCTCAAAATGAACAGAGCAATGGAAAAGCACTGAAGTCCATGAATACAGAAGTTGCATTGCCCATTTCAGAAAGTAGCTGATACCCTACTGCCAGTGGTTTTTAAAAATTAGTTAATTCACCCCAACAATCCCCTTTCAGCACCACTGTGAAACGCTTCTTTCGAGAAAGTCCAAATCCTTCCAGGGTACAAAAAGAAGGGGCACACAAGTAAGAGAGCACAACCCAACTGCACAAAACAAAGCTTTTTGCAACAGTGCCTTCAAATTTTTTTTTTAGCTTGTCCCAGCTCTCAAGATAGGTCCCTAGATGGGCTGCTGCAGAAACAACTCTTGGAGAAGTGTCTTCTTCCTCCTCAGGAATGTGGCTGTGGCTCTGAAGTCACTGCATGAATATCAATGTATTTGCAGCAGGCTGATGAGGTTCAGCATCAGTTACTTCCTTATTGAAAGCATTTGGGAAATGGTTGTCACCGACTTGCAAAAAAAACCTCAGAGGGAAATGGAATAAAATAAAGAGAATTATGCAGATTATTTAACTGGGCCACAAACCCTCTAATCCTGTTGCTTCCTAGCACATAAAGTCCCAGAAATCTGAAGGTTTTATTCCAAAATAGCAGCATGGTTGACATTAAAGCAGTTTCATCACCATGTCAGAATTAATTTCTTCTGTCTGTCTAAAATTGGGGTGCTTCACTGCCTCTGGCCCCTCTGTGAACAGTAGAGAGCTAGGTACTCCAATACAGTTGTGACACAGGTGAGGGGCTTGAGCCTGGTGTTTTGGACCCTCCTCTGTAGGTTACCTGCCTCCCTTCAGTGACAACAGGATAACCCACTTTTAGGTGGCAAAAGTGAGTGCTGTCAGGTAAATCCCACCCAGCTTGACTGCACTGCCACTGGTTCTCCATGTTGCCCTGGCATCACTTCTCAGGCAGGAACATGACAGAGCCAAAAATCTTTGAGCAGGCCCTTCTTTTGCCCATGTGTTGACACTCCCACCACACCACTTGTGGCTTATTGCCATGTGAGAGTTATGCCAGGCAGGCAGGTAGCTCCTCTGCCCGCTCTGGGACAATGCCCTGCTCCATCATCTGCTATCCCCCTGGAACTCCACTACCTGCTGCAGGCTGATCATGTTGCAATAGCATCTCTCTGAGCCAGTGTCTGTAAATCACAGCAGAGAACAGAAAATAAATTTAGGAAGCTGGGCCAACACCACAGTGAAGGAAATACTAGGCTCTATGGACTAAAGAGAAATCCTTCAGGGAGACAGCCCTCTGCATCATAACGAGTATGTATCCTGCTACCAAAACAGATACCTATGTAATAGCTTACACAGCCTTACAAAACAAAATATTTTTGTTAGTCTGCTTTGCCTTATAGTAATACCAAAGGGAAAGAGAACTTATAGACAGACAAAATGACATGAACACATTTTCACTGGAGACTGCTGGATCCTGGGAGAGATTTTGTTTCTAATTTATAAAGTCTGAATTCATAAACAGCTCCATGAACTAGAATTTGTACTTTGTTAAACTTATATTCAATCTTTCTACCTATGTCTCTAATCTTGGCTGAGGGTGATGGTTGATTCAGATGTCTTATTTTTAATGCATTAATTCATTTCAGGTCAGACTGCAAGGAAAAGTGTCTTGCCAGTGCTACCAGGACATTTTTCATAGTCATATTTGGATATAAGAACCCTGGAGAACTCTAACAAACCATTTTTCCCATTCTCATGTGGCTGAAAAATAGCCACAAGGTAACTGTGACCATGAGGGAGGAGAAGGGAAGGAAGGCTTGGCCCAAGACATCCTTGGGCCTGGTCTTCTGCTATCACAGCAATGGCACCCCTAAATCCCTTTCAGAAATGTCACGATTTCCTGACTGGTGCTCCACCTTACCTTATGCAGCGGTTCCTAGGGAACCAATACTGTGTTTTTAAGTTATAGGAAGGTTATGTCAGCTTGAATGGGCAGGTACCACTTCTGCAAATGAGAGACAGTGACAGTTGTAGCCTTTATCAAGCTGCAGTGTTGTAGCCTCTTTTGGGCAGCCACAAGAGGGCAATAGGACTAAACCTAACTTCTGGATGAGATGTCCCTTTCAGCAGAAAGGAGGTACGTGCAAAACTCATCTCTGCAAGATGTTGGTTGCTCAGTGAAGGACATGTGTGTAGGCAGAACTGCCTGGTGTCAGGGAGATGCCTGGGCTAGGAGCATCAATTTGGTCCTGCAGCCCCCAGCCAAGTCAGCCTCACTCAGGAGCCAGGAGCAGGTCACAGGCAGAGACACCATGCTGATCTGCTCCCATGGTCCTGTATGGGGCCCAGCAAGGAGAGGACACCACCAGTTCTAGTGCAGGAAGCTTGGTGGGAACTGTTCACCCACCTTGTTTTGTGGGAAGCAATCAGAGTTTCACCGCTGCTTTCAGGAGACAACATCTTCCAGCTCTGAAACCTACAGCCAGAAGGCACATGTAATGATAAATTACGTCAACATATTAAAATAATCATGTCCTTTGCCTATATTAAAAGCTGAAGTGGTGTATTCTCACCATAACAAATCCCAGTGGGAACAGGATAAATGTTCCCGTTGTGAAAGTACACATGGTAGCCAGGGTTCAGCAACTAGCTGCATCAGAATAACGAAGAAACCTGCTATTTGCATAGAACATCCCTGCATTTTACTTCTGTGCTTTCCATTTAACAACCTTCAAACAACCTTTAAAGAGACAAGTAGAGGCAAGGACAAGAGGGAAAGCTGTATGTTTACTTGCTAAACACAATGTGCCTTCAAAATAACAGAAAAGTCATATGACTGTTGAATCCAGGTCAGCTCTGTGTCAACAGTCCTGCTAATAGGCCTCATTATGAAAGCAAAAATTAGTTCTTGCTGTTGGAGTTGTTATAAATGAGGACTATTAAAAGCTGAGTTTATTACTGTGAAGCTGGGCTGTATTTAAAAATATTATTGAAGATTTTACAGTCCTAATAATTTTATTAGGAACCACTTAAAAGATCAGCTGAAAATGTGGTAATTTCTGCATAATAGAAGCAAGACTTATTCTTCAGCATGAAAAGTTACTGTGGTTTTATATTTAAAGTTTATGTAAAGGAGGCTAGAGATTCTGGTGACCTCCACGTGAGAACTGACTTACCATCAGAACTCAGCCCCACCAATGCATCAAGTTTTGAAAAGTACTGCCCCCAAAAAGCCTGTATGTTGAAAATTAACATCCAGCAGATTAGAGAGGACTACCAGACATTGGGGAATAGCAATTCAGATCCAGCAACTGGCTCAAATTCAAAACTAATCACCAGTAAATAAAAGCAGTTAGCTCCTTTCTGCTAGG